CAGGCACCATTGCCTTAGAGATCTCTAAATTGACAAAGGAAAATAATTTGATTAGCATTGATATTGTAAAAGTTATAAAAGGAACTCATGTCTATTCTCGGTGTATTTGTCAACCTATGGACAGTGATTACTGTATATACAATCTATAGTGTGTTTATTTTATAGATGTCACTATTAGAGATGAATGTCTTAATATTATTTACTACTTCTAGTCACTTGTGTATTATTTATACTTTACTGCAAGATTCACAGCACTTTACTAATATTAGATAATTATTTTCCTTCTACCTTTCTGTGGCATTTTCTACTTACATCTTTTCCACTGGGGTTCTTCTCCTTATTTTGGAACACTCACTAAGAAAAATGTAAAAGATTGCCCAAATAAATAGGCTATGTACTGTTCCTGAAATGTTTAAAGTCATACCTGAAGTTCTAAGTCTAGAACTCTCTTTGAAGCTGGGTTGGGGCTACTAGGCATGAATTACATTTTATATTTCACATTAATAAGACTCATAAGTTAGTACTCGTGAAGCCAAGTTCTCTCAAATGCAGACACACTTAAAACTTTTTGTTGAAAACAAAAGTTGCATTAACACAAAGTAAACAGTCTTCTGGTTAATCAGAAGATGCTCTTACCTGCCATTTACCTGTCTCCTAAAATACAAATCTGCAAACTGTCCTTCACTTTCATAGTTTCTTCAACATTGCATGTACTCAAACACAGGAGAAACAAAGCCAGGTTCCAGGAGCTGTGAAGTCCAAGAATCTGGAAAATGGTGGGGGTGAGGTGATGGGAAAAGGCAGACACTAACAAGGGCAGGATGCTACAAAAATAGTCTGAGTTCTACTATAACGTATGCTTTATGAACTTGGCCGTTTTCTTAAGTTCAAATATAGCAGGGTTTTCAGCTGATTCTTTTAAGAGATGCTTTGAGGAGTCAGGACTCTTCCGCTTGTACTTGAGTATATCTGTATTCCAACCCTAGTCAAAAGAGAGTGAGATATTTGTTGTTACATAAACACTGACACAGATGATTGCTGCCAAAGAATAGGGAGGTTTGCTCATAAGAACTTTCTCTTAAAGTTTTTTATTTTGCGTTTCTGGATGAGAGAAATGCTTTTATGGTGTGAAGAGTTTCTGTAGTGCTTTCTTCTGCGTTACCCTCTGCTCTGCTGGTATGCTTGATGTGGGCAGGTCACCTAGAAGAGAGAAGCACAAATAGAGAAGGCTAGACTCTGACCTTTGAGGGAAGAGCCACTTTCATCCTCCCCGAGTAAAAAAATAAAAATGAAACACACCTGTACACACACACACACACACACACACACACACACACACACACACAAGGACGAAATGATAAGTGGGTAAGTCACCTTCTAAATGTCTTTAGCATCCGTTGGCTGCTTGTTAATCTAGTTAAGAGTAGATTCTAGACCTGCGTTGTCCAATTCACTAGCCAGTTCACAGCCACATGTGCTAATTTAAATTAAGTAAAGTGAAGAATTCAGTTCCCCAATCCCCCAGCCACATTTCAAGTGCTCAGAAGCCACCCGTGGAAAGTGTGTTACCATTTTGGACAGCACAGATATAGAACATTTCCATCTTTGCAGAAAATGCTTTTGACAGTGCTGTGGTGCCCAAAGAGAGAATAAGGACAAAATAAAGATATTCAGTTGACTTATGATACTCTTGGATTTTACCGGCATCGTTAAAGAAAGCTATTTTTCTTATAAAAATTAATACCAGCCCTTTTTAAAGACCCTGGAAAAATCAAAACCCCATTCTTTGAAACTAGTTTTCAATGTATTTTTTAAACAGATTCTTAGCACTTTACTTTTTAAGTGATATTATTAAATAACTTCATAAATCATAACTTAGTATCTTCAGGTTTTTTCCTTTTTCAAGTAGTCTTTTAAAATTGATGATACATAGTTTCTAACATTTATCCAGCAGAAACTGATGAATGCTTAACTTACTTACAAGTAAAAGTTGATAAACATCATATTCCTCTGTTTTGTTACCTTTAAATCTTTCTATTCTGTTACTTTTTTTTTTTTTTTTTTTTTTTTTTGCGGTACGCTGGCCTCTCACTGTTGTGGCTTCTCCTATTGCGGAGCACAGGCTCCGGACGCACAGGCTCAGCGGCCATGGCTCACGGGCCCAGCCGCTCCGCGGCATGTGGGAATCTTCCCAGAACGGGGCACGAACCCGTGTCCCCTGCATTGGCAGGTGGACTCTCAACCACTGCGCCACCAGGGAAGCCCTATTCTGTTACTTTTAAATCTGTATAGATCTAAGGAGAGTTGCCAACAGTTTTTTTTGTTTCTGCCCCTAAAATCACATTTGATCATCTTCTACCTTAAAGGTTTATCAAGATCCAGATAGTTTCTTTGATTTTCTTCATAGTGTCTTGCTCTTAATTACTTAGATTATGAATCAAATTAAGTTTCATGTATGAAGCAAAGATTTTATTCCAGCAACTTAATGAAACATTTTTTTAAGATTTATTAATTGACTTGGCCTATTACTAAAGTGCTTAACATAACTAAAAGGATCTACACAAATGCGTCTTTGAATTTTTTAATGAATGTAAGAGACTAATCATAACTCTTAGGAGTCAGCTTGGTACTTAGTGAAAACTATCCCGTTAGGAAGTCAGATGCTTTCCTCTTCGTTTTTAAATTTTTTAATCAAGCAGCAGACTTGATCCAGTAGTGTCAAATTCCAAGCAAATATAATGAAGTTCTTATTGTTATTCAAGTACAGATGAGTAAATGGTGTGATTTGAGTTTGTTTTATTATTGTCATGGTGGTCTAATTTAATGTGTGTTCTACAGAGACTCATTTTACTAGTTAAGGGAGATTTTCAATGCGCTTGAAATAAGAAAACATGCTAGTATAAATACAGGAAATGACTGTACACAAATGCCAATCAATCATTTGGGGGCTTTTAAATTTTTTAATAGTAAGCTTTTGGTTTTTTAATAGCCTTAGTTATTTAAAATTCAGATGCACTGAAATGCCATTGCTGTCACTAGCTGTTTACAGATTGTGTGTAATTCATAAAGCTTTGTACTCAGAAGAATAATTTCCAGGTTTACTCTTGTTTTGCAGTTTTCATGTTTTGACAATTGCCCCACCATTTATAACACTCAGTTTCTCGTTGTGTAATGAATGGTAAAATTCAAACATATCTAATTTAATAATTTGCCTTATTTTGATTAACAAATTCTATCAAAGATTTGGGGATAGAAAGAGGCTTCTTTTTCCTATAGTATTTTTTAAACTTTTCAGATGAGCTGGAAAACACCTTAGTACATTGGAGTTGGAGTTGTACTGGTTACAGTCCCAGCTCTGAAGCCTTATACTCATGTCTTAAGTGTTACTGATTGTTCTGTGACTTGTTAGTTTGATATTTGACATTGTAGTTATCCACCTTGCAGTTTAGCCTTTGCAAAAAGGATATTGCTAGGTATGTTCTTATTTCTGGTTGACTATTGAATTCGTAATTTCATGATTTCATTTTTAGTCATAATCCAAAAAGGAAATCCACGTGGAACTCTAAATTTCTCTCTCACCTCACAAATGGAATCAATACAGTTTTAACAACATTGTACATAAATGGCATCCAAGCAGTTTTCCATCTGTTTACCAAGTTTACCAATCATTTACTCTGTGTTAGACTTGTGGGTTTTCTCACTGTTTTTCTGAGGTAAACGACTTGTGAGAAATTTTCACCAAAATCGCAAAAACGTAAAGTCCAAGAAATCACCAGAAGACAGATTTTTAATTTTTTGAAATCTTATATTGTATTTCCTTTTGATATCACTTATTCATTTTAATTTTATGACTGCCAACTTGTTATGGTATTAATTATATGTATATGTTTATATGTATGCATATAGTATATGTATATGAAGAATAAAGTTAAGATTTGGTCAAACTATATTTTCCCATTCAAGTACAAAAATGTTTTCAAGGCTGCAGAAAGTGTACAGTTGTCATACAAGTTGTAAATAAAGACTTGTATAAAAATTCAGCTTAGATTTTTTCTGCTCTTAGGCCGTACAAACGCATGTTTAATAATGTCTAATAGTATCCATCCGCTTGCCATACTGTCCTGTCAATTTAGATATTATGCCGCTGACTGGCTGTAAATCAGGAATAGTCTTTGAGTTTCTTCCCAGTACCTAGGATAAGTTTTGTTTTGATTTAGGCTGGTTCACAATGTGTGTAAGCTGACTGTCCAAAGTTCTGAGGGATAAAAGGTAAACATGGCTTCTCCCCTCTTACCACAGACAGTCCAGCAAGAACCAATGGTAGGTACTTACATTCTTTCACAATATAAGGCATTATTGTTGAAGCATCCTGTTTAAGCCATAGATGCCCCTTTTCCTGCCTGTCGACCCTTAAAATTCACCCTTTTCCCCCACCTCCACCCTAGACATGATTGAAATATGGCATCTTCAGTGTCACGTAAAGTGGCAGCAGCAGTGGAGAAATCGATTATACTCACATTAAAATAATTGCAGAGTGAAGTTAGCACCAATATTTAAAAACAAATAAACCTAGTATGCACGTAACCAAAATAGTGCCCACTTTAATTTGCATTTAATATGACATTTTAATGTCAGAAAGAGAAATGTAAGTGTTCTTCACTCATTAGTATGGAGGTAACCGTATTAAGTTTAGCCTTTATTGAGTGTCTGCCCTGGGTATTGAATGTTGAAGCAAAGGAGAAGGGGATGAGAAGGTAGGTAAATCACAAAAATTAAAGCAGCTGCCTTGAAATAGCTGTGTGATCAAATGGGGCACAACACAGGAAAGTTCCCACCTAGAGTGTGTCCCAGCCGGAAGCCCCTGGTCGGCCTCGAGCGCCATTCCGGTCATTCCTGCAGTGCAGACCACTGCACAGTGTCGTGGGTTTAATGATGATGTGCTCTCCCGGGGCTGGGCACAGCCCCAGCTGCTCTCTGTCGGGCCTCTCATTCGCTCCCAGCTAGGTGATGGCTGAGACTAGAGTCATTCGAAGACTGTTCTCACATGTGGTACCCAGACTGGCGTGGACAGAGTGCCCAAGAGTGATCAGGCCGCTCCCCACACAACCTCCCGACGTGGCCAGCTGGACACACACAGTGGAGTCACGGGGGAGAGGGACTTCCTAGATGCAGCTGGCTTCCCCCAAGCAGGAGTGCTGAGAAACCCTGCGGAAAGCTCCAAATCTCGTCAGCACCCAGCCTTGGAAACTGCACAGCATCAGTTCTCTTTTATTTGTCAGGGTTGTCACAGGTAAGACCAGATCCAAGGGGCTGACCCTCCACCTCCCAGTGGAGGAATGACCCACTTACCACAGCTGCATTGTCTGGATTCAGAGAGAAGTAACACTTCTGCCATGAAGATCATACTCCTGAAATCAGGATATTTCCCCGTCTTCTAATCCCTGTGCCAAGCACACCCACAGGGGTACAGAACCACCAAGTACGTAACTACACTGTGAACAAAAGCTGAAAAGTTTGAAGCCGCAAAAACACGCACTTCTTTTAACAGGTATCTAATTGTATTGTAACATGAGCTCTAAAATGTTTCTACTCCCTACTTTGGCAGTTAATTTCTGAGACTGTATTTTAAGGGAATTGTCCAAAATATGAGCGTCTCTGTGTAGTGAGATGAACCCTCCGTGTTCCTAGCCAAAGCCCCCCATTTGTACGATGGCTTCTCCTAAAGGACTTGTTTCCAGAGATTTCCCCCACTTCCCGGTCTGGCATTTTCAGGTTTTTCTGCTCTACTGAATCATTCCTATTAACATACAAACATGCTGTTATTTCTCATATCTTCGACCTGTCTTTATTAATGAATTATTGTTAATTTTTTAAACTGCATATCCTTTTAAAATTTATTTATTTTTGGCTGCATTGGGTCTTTGTTGCTGCACGTGGACTTTTCTAGTTGTGGCGAGCAGGGGCTACTCTTCATTGTGGTACGTGGGCTTTTCATTGCGGTGGCTTCTCTTGGTGCAGAGCACAGGCTCTAAGCACACGGGCTCAGTAGTTGTGGCGCATGGGTTTAGTTGCTCTGCGGCATGTGGGATCTTCCCAGACCAGGGCTTGAACATGTGTCCCCTGCGTTGGCAGGCGGATTCTTAACCACTGCACCACCAGGGAGGGCCTAAACTGCATACTTTTAAGCGTGCAGTTTAATAATTTTTGAGATGTATATACTCATGATGAACCCATCACGACGATCAAAATAATGTGCATATCCGTCACCCCAGAAAGTTCTCTCAGGCCCCCTGGTAATTGCCCCAGGCCCTCCCAGTTCCCCTACGCCCACCCGTATCCCTGGACAACCACATCTGCTTTCTGACACTGTAGACTACTTTGTGTAGTTAGTGTACAATTTTGTGTAAATGGAATCCTGCAGTATGTACTCATTTTTGTCTGGCTACTTTTACTCAGCATTATTTAAGGTTTATCCATATTATGTGTATCCATAGTTCATTCCTTTTTATTGCTGAGTGGTATTTCACTGTGTGGATATGCCACGGTTTGTTTATTCATTTGCCTGCTCATTAGCATTTGAGTGCTTCCAGTTTGGGGCTGTCACAAATGAAGCTTTGTATGGGCATGTGCTTGGGTGAACACCTGGAGTGGAATGGCTGGGTCCCATGGTAGGTTTAGATACTGTTCAATACATTTATGCTTATTACCGATTTTGGCTTAATTTTTGTATATGGTGCAGTGCAAGGTATGGATTGTAGGGTTTTTTTGTTTATTGGGGTAGGCATATAGAATGATCCAGCACCATTTGTTGAAATTATCTTTTCTCCACTGAAATGCATTTTACAACTTCGTTGAAAATCAGTTCTCTTTATGAGTCTTATTTCTGGATGTCGGCTGTTACACCGATCTGTATCTTCACACCAGTAATACCCCATCTTGATTATTGCAGCTTTAAAGAAGTGTTGAAGCCACGTAATGTAAACCCTCCATCTTTTTTCTATTTCAAAGTTGTTTTAACTGTTTAGATCCTTTGCATTACCTACCATATGAATTTTAGAAGCAGCTCATCAATTTCTACAAAACAAAACCTGCTGGGATTTTGACTGGGATTGCATTAAATCTATAGATCAACTGAGAGAATTAATAACTTAATATTGAGTTTTCCATCCGTTTATTTAGGTTTTCTTTAATTTCTCTCATCAATGTTTTATAGTTTTCAGTGTACATGTTTTTCATATCTATTGTCAGATTTATCCTAAGTATTTCTTTAGTTTTGATGCTGTTGTAAATGGTATTTTTTAAATTTTAATTTCCAGTTTCATGCTAGCACATAGAGATACATTTGAACTATCTTTTGGTTTACTTAATTTTCTCTGTTTTTTTTTTGTTTGTTTTGATTTCTATTTCAATTGTATCCATTCTGATCTTTATTATTTCCTTTCTTCAACTTACTTTAGTTTTCATTTGCTCTTTTTCTAGTTTCTCAAGGTAAAAACTGAGGTTATTAGTTTAAAACCTTTCTTATTTTCTACTATAGGCCTTTAGTGCTAAAAATTTCCTTCTCATTACTACCTTAGCTGCATTGTACAGATTTTTATATGCTATGTTTCTCTTCTCATCCAGTTCAGAATACTTTCTGATTTTCATTTTCACTTCATCTTTGACTCATGGGTTATTTAAAAGTGTGTTATTTACTTTTTAAGATTTGAGGATTTTCCAAGAATTTTTCTGTTAGTGATTTCTAATTTAATTCCATCATAGTTAGAGAACATGTTTTGTATGGCAGGAATCCTTTTGAATTTATTGAGATTTGTTTTATGGCCTAGGATAATGTCTATCTTGGTAAATATTTTGTGTGCACTTGAAAAGAACTTTCAAGAATTCCGCCGATGTTAGCTGGAGTGTTCTATAAATGTTGATTAGATGAAGTTAGTTGAGAGTGCGCTTTAAGTCTTCTAGAGCATTACTGATTTTTCTGTCTACTTTTCCTATCAGTTATTGAGAGAGAGATGTTGAAGTCTGACTATAATTATGGACTTGTCTATTTCTGCTTGTAGTTTTTGCTTTATCCATTTTGAAACTATTATTAGGTGCATAAATTTTTATACTCAATATGTCTTTTTGATGAATTGATTCACCCTTTGTCATGAAATGATCCTCTTTATCTCTGGCTGATTTTCTCTAATCTAAAATCTACTTTGTTATTGTTATAGACACTTCACCTTTCTCTTAATTAATGTTAATATGTCTTTTTACATCTTTGTACTTTTTCTTTCATCTTCTTATTTTTAACTTACTTGTGTCTTTAAAGTGGATTTCTTGTAGGGAGCACATATTGGGTCTTCCTTTTTATCCAACCTGACAATCTCTGCCTTTTAATTCTGTCTTTAAGCCATTTACATTTAGTATAATTATTGATCTGATTAGGTTTAAAATTTACCTTCTTGCTATTTATTTTCTATTTGTCCTCTCTATTCTTCATTCCTTTTTTTTTCTGCCTTCTTTTGGAACAATTGGGTATTTTTTATGATTCCATTTTATCTCCTTTGTTGACTTATTTGTTATAATGTTAGTTGTTGCTTTAGGGTTTATAGTATACTTCTTTAATTTATCACACTTTAATTTCAAGTGATATTATACTCCTTCAAGTATAATAGCATAAGAACCTTCAGTAGTGTACTTCCATTTCATCCTTCTAGACTTTATGCTAGTACACTTTAATTCTACATTTGCTATAAGCCCACAATACATTCTTGTTTTTACTTTAAGCAGTGAATTATCTTTTAAAGAGAATTGTATAATAAGAAAAAAATGGCCTTTTGTATTTTCCATTACAGTTATCATTTATGGTGCCTTTTTTCTTTTGTGTAGATCCAGAATTCTATTTTGTATAATTTCCTTCTGGATGCCCTTCAATATTTCTCGTACTGAAAATCTACTGATGATGAATTCTTTCAACTTTTATATATCTGAAAATGTCTACTTTGCCACCATTTTTGAAAGAAATTTTCATTGGGTGTTTTCTTTCAGTTGTTTAAAAGGTTGTTCCACTTTCCTTTACCTTATATTTCTTCTATATTAGTTGTCTATAGCTACATAACAATTAACCCAAAGTTGGCTGCATAGAAAAACAGTTTCTTTTGTTTAAGAATGCAGGTGCAGCCTAGCTGGTGTTTCTGGCTAAGGTCTCTCACAAGGCTGCAGTCCAGGTGCCTGCCAGGGCTGTAGTTATCTTGAAGCTGCACTGGGGGAGGATATACTTCCAAGTTTACTCACATAGCTGTTAGAAGCCTTCAGGTCCTTACTGGTGGCCAGAGACATCAGTCCCTTGCCATGTGGACCTCTCTATAGCACAGCTCACAACATGGCAGTTTGCTTCCCTCAGAGTGGGGACTCTGAGAGACATAAAGGTGGGGGGAGGGGGGAAACATGTTGGAAGTCACAGCCTTGTAATCTGACATGACATCCCATCCTTTTGCTGCTTCTCATGATACATTCTGGGTTCACTCTGGCTTATGGCATCAGAAGACATGTACTAGAAGGCTGAGAGCACACACTTCAGAGCCAGACCACCTGGTTCAGATTCTAACTGCACCACTTTACTGACTCTGTAACCTTGGAGAAGTTATTTAACCTCTCATTATCTCTGTCTCCTCCTGTGTAAAATGAGGATGATAGTAGTAACCACTTTATAGGGTGAGAGAGTTATACACGTGAAATAAGAGAACAGTGGCTGACTCATAGTAAGCACTGTGTGTGATAGCTATCACAATTCACAGCATTTTTTGGAAGAACAAAATATTGGAAACCAGCTATATATTCATGTTTTGGAGAATAGATAAAGGTGTCATTGTCATACAATTGTATGCTATATAACCAATAAGAGGATCTAGATCTGTTATAATAGAGACAGATCGCAGAAATAATTGTTGAGTGAAAAAAAGGCACATAAGTTTTAGACACTTTGAGTATGACAGTATATTAAATTTGTAATTTTTAATTAATAGATTTTTAATATCAAAAAAATCTAATGAATATAAAATTCTATTTATATAATCCCAAATTTATTTATAACCCTGTCAAATTATATAGCCCTATATACATGTCCTTCCATGCCTGTGTATACACATCTCTGTCATTCTTGTTTCACTTTTCCATACAGTGGGCTTGGCATAATTTTCATGACAATGCTATATTTTTGCAGAACAGATTTCTATAAGTGGGACTAGGATACTCAGTTTTAGGACCAACCATTATCTGAGTCTTCAGCGAGTCATAACCTTTTTGCTGGTAGAGGGTCTTGCCTGGATGTTGATGGCTGCTGACTGATCTGGGTGGTGGTTACTGAAGTTGGGGTATCGGTGGCAATTTCTTAAAACAACAGTGAAGTTTGCCACATCCCTTGACTCTTCCTTTCGTGAACAATTTCTCTGTAGCATGCATTGCTGCTTGATAGGATTTTCACCCACAGTAGAAAGTCTGTCAAAATTGGAGTCATTCCTCTCAAACCCTGCTGCTGCTTTATCAACTCAGTTGATGTCATATTCT